AACAGCTATTACAGTTGATAGATTAAATCCTTCTAAATATTCAGGGAAGGAATTAATTCCATTCAGAATTAAGAATTATGACAGACACTATCTTAGTACAAATAATTTTTATTTTTTCCTTTTTGTTTTGCTTTATAAAGTTCCATTAATATGTTCACAGCTTTGCACCAACATGAATAAGGAAAGGCCAAGTCATTCTGTGCAGCTATTACAGTTGATAGATTAAATCCTTCTAAATATTCAGGGAAGGAATTAATTCCATTCAGAATTAAGAATTATGACAGACACTATCTTAGTACAAATAATTTTTATTTTTTCCTTTTTGTTTTGCTTTATAAAGTTCCATTAATATGTTCACAGCTTTGCACCAACATGAATAAGGAAAGGCCAAGTCATTCTGTGCACATGATTTACACAGCTCTACTTATGTATGAAATACTTAAAAGCCACATTGTTTTATCCCACTTTCATTCTTCCAAAGACAAGGTTTAACACTGGTGATAAAATGAAGTTGGAAAAGGTGGCAGGAACATATTAAAAACAAAACAACCCCCTCCCCACACACACTTTACCTGCATAGTTTGCTCTTTATTTTTACTAATAAATATTTTATAAACAATAGCGAAACAAATTTCAATCATCTGGTTTGCCTGCAATTTGGGACTATCTAGACCATGTCCAGGCAATAGTACCATACATATCTGAAAACATCTTAAATTTTGTTTTTGTGTTTTTAAGTTATGAAAAGAAAGTCATTCTGTCATGACCACAGAATTATCCACAGGAATCCAAGGTTTGCTAGAACCTGATTTACACTTATACATTTTACAGTTCTTTGTTTACTTTGATCCAGCAGATTTGCAGTGTGAAGATCTGCAAATGTGCACAAAAAAACCAAACTTTGCAGCCAAACGTATGCTGATAAGTAACAAGCTTTGACAACAAATTTTGTTCATCATCATCTTATATTTTAACCACACATTTTTGAAGTCTTCATTTTAAATACTTGTCACAAGAACATAAACAGAAGCTGGGGTATTTAATGCATTCTTGTATCCATGAATCAAAAAGGTTTTCTTTTGTCCTGGGTGGGAGAATCCCCCATCTACCTACAAAATACCTCTTGAGGACTAAAGCTCAAAGTAAGGCCTCTTTGCAGAGCGTGGAGAAAAATACTAAACCATCACTAACTAGCTACCATTTCTTAAAGGCCTGCAATTGGGAGAAGAAAAGATGACTGAAAAGCAGCAGCGTCGATAATATAGTTACCAATTCAATTGTTGTTTTCTGAGAACAAATAAGATGTAATTTGGGAGATAGCTATGAAGAACACTTTTGGGAGATATTCCATGTACTCCCTCCTCCTTGGAGTTAGAGGGGGAATAGATGAACTTCATGTGGAATTCCCAGGTTTTTTTTTTAAAGAAAGATTATATGTTGTGTGATGAACTTCATGTGGAATTCCCAGGTTGTTTTTTTGTTTTTTTTTAAAGAAAGATTATATGTTGTGTGATACAAACCTCATTTCCTATGTCACCACAACACTATCACGTTCTGAGCACTTACATCCATTAAGCATAGGCATGGCATAAACAAAATATCAGTAAAGTGTGTACGCATGCGCAAATGGTGCTATGTACCTCAACTAGGACATCATATATTAGGTATACACCATCCACAGCTCTTAACCAATACATAAGAAAAAAAAAAGGAGAGGAGAGTGGGGTTTTATTTTTATAACTCTTTCCATACAAGAAAAAAAACAGTCTGAAACCTGCTTCATATGTGTTGTGTTGCTTTCCTAGAGATATCTACTTTTAACTCAATATTCCCCTTTCCCAAAACAATTTCCAGTTGTTCAAGTGGAAGGATGCCAGATGTCAGACTCTTATGTGGGTTCAGGGAAGGGGGAGCAAGTTTGCCTAATAACTCTGATTTTAAATGTAAAGATCTATTGAAAAAATTCATTTACAAACTTCTGTCCCTGCAATTTTATTAGTGCTTGGAAGAACCAAGTGGTCATTAATGAATACCACCCAGAGTTCCCATTGAACTAGGTGACCCAAAACTCATAGGCCCAGATTCAAATGTCCCTGAACTTGACAGAAGTTCAGATCCTTAAAGATAGTTTTGTGAGTTAGGGCTCCCTTAATGGAAATTTGCTGTGATGCAGCAAAGTGGTATGACAGTTTCTTCTGAACCTCAAAACTAAATACAGACAATTTATGAATATGCTGCTAAAAACTTCTTTAAAGCTCATCCGGCTACATAAATTCCTCTGTCCACCACTAATTCTAATATTTATCAACATCTGTTTCTTTGTAAGCTACCAAACACAGGCACCCAGATGGGAATCACAGTTACTTCTCTCCCGGTAGAATAGAAGGCTACATTTCATCAGTTCCAACTACCCTGGAAGAATAGTTTTAAAAAGTTAACCAAAGAAAAATATTTCAGAGGTCTTGAAATGAATTAAAAAGAGTAGGAAATCTTTAGATGAGACATCTCCCACCTAATTACTTATAGGGTTTTGGGAGGGTCGTTATTTAGTCAGGAACACAAATGAAAAAAGTGCAAGAACTGCATGTCTTGCAACACTTAATAGAGCAAAAAGGACATACACATTCTTGCAAACACACTCAAAGGTTTCCTAACATATGAAACTGGGAAAAAATGAGAAGTACCACAAGTAACAAAATGCACATGCATAGGCATGTGTGCACACATCAGTCCTCAAAATGATACAAACACTCCACTCTGCAACCTTGTCCTTAATACACATGGCTCTGTACCTTCACTTCAAATCACATTCTATGAAGAATATCTTAAAAAAATTCACATTGTTTCTCCCACATCTTTGCATGTCCCCTTCCCATTGTGTGAAAGCTCCTGAATGTCAGTTGTTTAGGAGTTGCTTTTAAGCCTTCCACAACCTTCTGTTTTAAGGTTTTCATCAATCTTAAACTACTTTCACTGTAAAAGGAGTTGCCAAAAAATCCCACCACACACACACATTACACTGCTCAGAGAGCATCTTGAATTAGACTGGCACTCCATCCATAGGCCACAGCAAAAATGTCAAGTCCCCAGTGCAAGTCACTGCTTTTCTTTGGAGAACTCTTTTCAAAACAGAAAAACATAGCAATACATTAAGAACCTATTTGTCTTAGAGCCATAAAGATCTCTACAGCTCAGGAAATAAGGTGATCACTTCATTCCATTTCTAAAGTTAGAGAGATACAAGAAAAATATTGATTTTGTGTAACTACAGAGTTTTTCACCCCTCTGCCAGACACAACATAAAAGGGATGAACTTAAGAAACTCAATCCACTCAATACATCTTTGATTTAGCAGCAGGCTAGAGTATACAGAGGGCTTCTCTCAATCACTTCAGTGGACAAAAAGGTTTCTCTATTACCAAACACTAAGGCTATAACATTAAATAATTGATATTAGGAACATTTAAATCTTGACTCCAGTAACCGAAGAGATACCACCAGACAAAATTCTAAGCATATTCAACCTCTTTGGCATGTTCTGGACTCATCTATGAAAATAACAGTTTCTGACACCAAGTTCTTGCCTTCTGTGAACATCTGAGCCAGAATTAAAATGGAAAGTAAGAGCTCTTACTAGAACAGGAGGGAAAGCTCACCCTTTGCTACCTTCACTTAGTCTCATGACCTAAAAGATGCATGGGAGAAAGGGGGACAGGGAGGGACCAATCTCACAAACAGCCTTTTTTATTTTGCAGTTCTTGCTGGACAAATGAGATTTCAGTCCACCTCAGGAATAAGTAAGGAGCAAATCAGACCACTAGAAAGAATAAGCATGGCCTTCCCTTTATGACAATTTCTCAGTGGTATCTTAAAAGCATTTGTAGAATTAAATCTTCTACAGATGATATGCACTTGGTACCCTCAGCTTCTGCTTAAGATCTTGGACTCCAAATTCCTGCTCCACACACAGTAGCTCTTTTTTTGCACACTTCCATGATAAACTTGAGTGACTGAACCTGGTGTAGCCCATGTCAATTTACAATGGAAACAGAGCAATACCAAAATGGCTTTGTTCAGAGATGTGGTTGCTCAATAAACCTCCTTTCCATAAAGAGACATGATTGCAGTACCAGTCAACAAAATTCTGTGTAAAAATAAGAATCTCAGCTAAAATAAGTCATCAAATCTGCCAAAATTAGCTACCAAAAAATCAGGAATCATCAGCTCTAGTGTTTTATCAAGACAGTTGTGGTTGTTAAAATGCAAAATACAAAGCTGGCATTACTCTGTGTACTGTCTGCCACAAAGGTCTCTACTTGTCTTTTAATGTGCTATGAAGGAAGAAGGCTGGTTACTTTGCTGTTGCAACAAAAAAAAAATATCATCTCTGCCCTCACTACAAATCTCCTTAGAAAATGTAAGGTGTAGGACAGTGAAATCCAATCACTGCACTCTTAAAAAAAAAACCATCTCTGCCCTCACTACAAATCTCTTTAGAAAATGTAAGGTGTAGGACAGTGAAATCCAATCACTGCACTTTTTATCAGAGCAACCTTTAAACAAAGAATAAAAATGTCAAAACATAAATTGCAGTTAACATTAAAAAAGGAACCACTTTATTCCTGTTTCCCATTAAAATACTATATAGTTTTATGAGGATAGCCAAAATTTGTACTGGAAATTGAGTGTTAACCTTCTGTGGAACTAGTGTCTTTCTAGTTAGAAATGTTTTATTAAAATTGGCTAAAAAATGAAAGTATGTGTGGGATTTAAATACAACATGAAACAGACAGGTGAACACTACTCGCCTTCGTTAAATCCTTTCACATTTGAAGGTGAGTGTGAATGCCAGCACAGTTTTATTTCAATCAGAGTATCTATCCTTCTGAATGCCCAATTGTAGATACACAGAATGCACTTACTCAAATGGGCAGACAAGCAGAGATGTTCATAGCGTCTTCTGATGAATAAAAACTGGACAAAAATCTTCTGTTTGGTCTGAGTGTTAATGGGCTGCTCTCATTTCTACAGAGTTGCATGTGATGTGCAGTCTCTGTAGGAAGGCAGGTAGGCCTCACTCCCTTTTTCCATTCCAAGGAGGAAAAGGAGAAAAGAGGACAGGGTAAGAGGTTGATGATGTATGGAATAGTTCTGATGTATAAAATTACTTCCCAATATGGGAGGTGAAAAGCTTCATGAGTCAATTCTGCTGTCATCCTTGGCATGTCTTTCAATATGTCCTGCAGCATCCTGGGAAGAGAGGAACACAGAACAAGTCATTAAAGAACTAGTATAAAGGATTCTAAAAGCCTCAGTGCACCGCATTCTGGATACATTAAGAAATCACTGGCCTGCAGAAGATATTAACACCCTGCAATTCGTATCAAATGTACCTAGAAAACAAGACATGAATAAGTACAATATAAAGCATCCCATCTCCCACACACGCCCTCCATGCCAGACAGGATGTATTTCTTCTGAGACATCCAAAATCAGTGCTTTAGGATACCATTTAAGAGGCACAGCCTCATTTCTTGGTGAGAATAGAGTTGTTTTCTTAAATCTGCACAATATTCAATTCTATAGTTGGGATTCTAGTTTAATGCTTCAGGCTAGTTTCCTTATTACCTAATCCAGGACCCTAAAGAACCTCTTTCTTGTGAATGGCAGCCCGTATGAGTTCTCTCTTGATAGCAGTAGGGCACAAAGACTGATCCTAAAGTCCTCCTTGCCCTCTTTTCCCTCTCTCTCTCTTTTTTAATATAAAGACAAAAGGCCCATTTGCAATTATAATTATTATTATTTATCAACCAAGAAAGGGTAAGGGAAAAAGGAAAGACAACTGCACTTTAGACATTGTTGCTAATAGACTTCAATCGCTTCCTTTGACCACACTGGACCAAAAATTTCTGATCAAGAGAACTATGGTAAACACCATTATAAAACACAAGCTAAAAGCTTCTGGGGGGAAATTTAACTAGTAAGACTCTCAGATAATCCATGTCCATACTATTTAGGGGAAAATTAGTAGAATGCTACTAGCAACTGCTAATTTAAACACTATACAATTCACAATTCTGATTAGTCACCAAGAGGAATGGAAGATCTAGTGATACACCATGGGGATCAGCTTTGTTGTATTTATCATGTTCACTAGGATGATATATTGAAGAAGGTCACTTGTTAGGCACTGTATAAATATGTAATAGACATGATTCTAGCCTCAAATATCTTACAGCAGAATTAAAGATGCAACAGGGGAACAAAGAGAATGAGGGAGGGAGAATGAGGGTAATGGAGGGGATCCTCAAGGAATCCATTTTAAAGCACTTGGAAGAGAGGAAGGTGATCAAGAATAGTCAGCATGGATTCATGAAGGGCAAGTCCTGCCTGACCAATCTGATTAGCTTCTATGAGGAGGTAACTGGCTCTGTGGATATGGGGAAGTCAGTGGATGTGATATATCTTGACTTTAGCAAGGCTTTTGATACGATCTCCTACAATATTCTTACCAGCAAGTTAAGGGAATGTGGATTGGATAAATGGACAGTAAGATGGATAGAAAGCTGGCTGGAAGGTCGGGCCCAGCGGATAGTGATCAACGGCTCGATGTCAGGATGGCGGTCAGTTTCTAGCGGAGCGCCCCAAGGTTTGGTTCTGGGACCGGTTTTGTTCAACATCTTTATTAATGACCTGGATAAAGGGGATGGATTGCATGCCCAGCAAGTTTGCGGATGACAGTAAGCTAAGGGAAGAAGTAGATACGCTGGAGGGCAGGGATAGAGTCCACAGTGACTTAGACAAATTGGAGGATTGGTTCACAAGAAATATGATGAGATTCAACAAGGACAAGTGTAGAGTCCTGCACTTGGGACGGAAGAATTGTTATAGGCTGGGGACCAACTGGTTAAGTAGCAGTTCTGTAGAAAAGGACCTGGGGGTTACAGTGGATGAGAAGCTGGATATGAGTCAACAGTGTGCCCTTGTAGCCAAGAAGGCTAATGGCATATGAGGTTGCATTAAGAGAACCATTGCCAGTCGATCCAGAGATGTGATTATTCCTCTTTACTTGGCTCTGGTGAGGCCACATCTGGAGTACTGTGTCCAGTTCCGGGCCCCCAATTACAAGAAGGATGTGGATGCATTGGAGAGGGTCCAGCAGAGGAAAACCAAAATGATTAGGGGGCTGGAGCATATGACCTATGAGGAGAGGCTGAGGGACTTGGGTCTATTCAGTCTGCAGAAGAGAAGAGTGAGGGAGGATTTGATAGCAGCCTTCAACTTCCTGAAGGGAGGTTCTAGTGACGGATGGCAGAACAAGGAACAATGGTCTCAAGTTGCGGTGGGAGGGGTCCAGGTTGGATATTAGGAAAAACTATTTCACTAGGAGGTGGTGAAGCACAGCAATGGGTTACCTAGGGAAGTAATAGAGTCTCCATCCCTAGAGGTTTATAAGTCTTGGATTGACAAAGCCCTGGCTGGGTTGATTTAATTGGGATTGGTCCTTCCTTGGGCAGGGGGCTGGACTTGATGGCCTTCTAGGGTCTCTTCCAGCTCTATGGTTCTATAATTCTATGAACTATAAGATTACAAATACTAGTTACATTCGTAGCTTGATAGCCATGAATACTTTTAGAGGCCATTTCCCTTCCCATTTCTGAAGTATAAGATATAAAAAGTACATCAGTACATCTCAATGGACATGCAGCAATTATCAGTTTTCCCATAACTAATCTGGGTTGCCTTCTGCCACCCCTGCTCATGTCGAAAGGTATGCAGTTCAGTGAATAATCCCATCTTTTTTATTAAAAGAGTGAGGAAGTGGCAGAATCTGGCCCTATGAATATATATTCCTTCTCATCTCCAAACTACAGCTTAATTTAGAATATTGAGATTTGCTCTTGGTGGGCTATTTTCACTATATGTAGATTTTAGAAGATTAGTTAAAGACTATTATTCTGCTTTTCAGTCATCAGACAAACCTTATATGTAGATTTTAGAAGATTAAAGACTATTATTCTGCTTTTCAGTCATCAGACAAACCTCCTTTCATTGCGCACTTTTATAGAAGTCAACAAAAAGAAGGTAGACTAACAGCTTTACCTCCCTAGAATAAGAATGGCTTTACTGATAAATATGCAAGATCTTCCTTCGTACTTTAGTTCAGGTAATGTAAGACTCTCATACTATCTCTGTGAAACGAAAATCTCAGTTCTCCCAGTTGTGCTAATATCAACTCAGAAATCTCTTTGCATCATCTGTATTTTATTTGTTAAACCCAGCTATGACCATTTTAGGACCATTCAATGAAAGATTTTGCTCCCTCAGAACTGAGAAAAACAACATTCAGGAAAAATAAATATTATTTTCCACTTATAAAACTTGAAAATAATGGAATCAAGATGCAGTTAAAAAGGCAATACTTACGCTTTTCTTTAAAAAAGCAAATTTCCATTCCTAGGCACAAGTACAGTTAGCCTCTTTAAATGTTTGGAAAATGACAACCACTATCAGCAACAAACTGTGTATCTTATTTTACACTGTTTCAGAATGACCACATGACTCAGAACAGACTAAAGCTGTATTGTGAATGATGTGTTAAGGATCAAGTCCAGCTGGATTTGCTTATATCAATACTTTTACTCAATTCAATTCAACTGTCTGCATGTCTGAAGCTAGCAGGATTTGACCATGAATAGGCAAGTCCCCCAACTATGGTAACAGAGCACATGCTTTATATCTAAGATTCTGTCACTCAATATATATTTTCTTACTCTGCTTTTTTCCCCTTCCCACTATACAAATGCAATTTCTTCACCACATACCTGCTTGGAACCTTTCTTGGAAGTAAAGAAGGCATCACAGTTCTTCCAGCGACATTTTAAGGTCTGAAAATGTGGGTTGGTGTGATCGGTCAGCAAGTGTTGTTTCAGATGATCCACAACTCCAAATATCAATGAACATCCATGCCACTGGTGGGAGAATGTATTGTAATAAGCAGGGGGAGGGAAGAGGGTAGTGAGGGAAAAGAGGAAGTGAAGAAGTTAGATAATGCTCTTATCCCAGCTGCTGACAAACAATTTTCCACCAAAAGTTGTCTTGCACACACTGCCTCCACATTTCATACTCTCTCATACCGAACTACAGGGGCAATGTCTCCAGACTACTTTGGGAGGCTATGGAAACTTCTTCACTGATATTTTCAAAATGAGTGACAATAGTTCAGCCACAATCACACCACCTTGGCAGAGAGCTAGACAAGATGACCCTTGTTGTCATTTCAAATGGTATGATTCTATTAGAATAAGTTTTAGGGAGAAATAAAATTGGTGCAACAGACACATAAGGCTCTGTGCTGTCTTTTCTAGTTAAGCTAAGTCTAGAACAAATGGCTCTCAATGGAGCATTACAGCCATTAAACTTGCCAGCATGAACATGTATCAGCAAGGAAAGTGAACATTTCTAGCATAGAAATGCACATATTTAGGAAGCCAGAAAACTAGGAGGTAAGGGGTTTTTGTTTTTTAACAAAGCAAAATTTATATGCAAAACTAATATCACTAAGATTAGAAGAACTGTTTCTGTATACAGAGGGTGCAGTAGAAGTTTTCTGTTTTAGAAGTTGGCACTTGCCACCAACTCAGTTGAAACAGTTAATGTAAGTGAAGAATTTTTTTTAAAAAATGATCACTTATCTACCTCAACACAGAGCACCTACCATATATTATTACAGGGATCCTGCAAGGCAGCTGCTCCCAGAGTTTAAACTATTTTCATGATGGAATTTAAAAGATGTGTGACTGGTTG